GGGGGGGTAGAGGTCAAAAGCCGGCCAGGTGCCCCCTTTTCTCTCTTGGTGGCCCTCTTGTCCTTTTCCCCTTAAGGAACAGATGCAAAATTCCTTCAGACCCACAACGAAGCGTGCAATCTCTTTTCTTTAGCCCCGTGCAAAATTTTCAAAACTCCCCGTAAAGTTGGCAGAACAGAGATGAAGCTGGAGGACGCCCAGGACTTGAGCCAGCCTCCTGGGGGACCGAGGTCTCCAGACCCTCCTCGTGGTTCAGAATCGATACGGTCCCTGTTGCAGCTCCAATCCAGCCAAAGCTTCATGGTCCAGTTTTGGGGTGCTGCCAGGTCTGGGGTTGACGAGAGGGCAATTCCAGGCAATGGTAGAGGAAGCCTGAAGCCATGCCGAGGCTTAGTGGCTTGGCCCACCCAGACACCCCTCAGTTTCTTGCGTTGGGAGGGCTTGTGGGAGGCAAAGCGTCTGGCCTGAGATCTGCTGGTTCCTTTTTTTTTTTTTTTTTTGAAAAGCCGACATCTGTGGGTGATATTTTCCGTCAGGGCCTGAAACCGGTTCCTGCCTTTGTCCTATTGTGAAAAGCCACCACGGTTCGCAAGGCCCTGTCTCTCACTGGTGACGCCCTGCCATGCCATTTCGCACCTCCCTCTCCTTCACACCCAAATATCTCGGCCTGAGGGGGGCTCTCTCCCCCCCAGAACGCCCTGCCACCCCCTCCCCGAGCCCCCAAGTCCCCCGAGCGTGACAATGGGCCCATGTGTTCCGTGGGGGGGTGAGGAATTCAAAGGGGGCGGAGGGGACAATGGGGCCCTGTTTGGGCCACTAGCCTCCTCGGCGGGACCAGGGTCGGAGGGCCGTGACTCATGCCAGAGGATGAAATGCCAGGGGGCACGGGGGCTTTGCCATGCTGCAGGGGTGTGTGGAAGCCATCCAAGAGAGGTGGGGACTTGGCAGCTCCAGATCTCACATCCCCCCCCCCCCAGCCACCATCCAAGCCAGCGCGAGCCGACAACTTCACTGCAATCAGCAACTTCTGCTCTGGAGTCTCCAGGCTGGCTGAGGATACAGAGAGCCACGGAAACAGGTAGCCGGCGCAAGAGGGTCTGTGAGCATGCGTGAGCTGCTGGGCAGGCTTTTAGGACACGGATCCTGATCACGCATGTATACTGCACTGGGAAGAGGGCAGAAAAATTGTAATCTGTAGGAGCTGCTCCTGTTTTAGGGATCTGAGTTGCAAATCTCTGGATCGCCAGCGGGGGCAGCAACTTTGGAGTGCTCTCCCTGGCTGTGGCGCCCTCTAGGGGCCATCCAGAGCCTTGCAGCTCAGCCCTAACTATTTTCCTGCCCTCTCAGCTGTTCTGCCTTTAATGGGAGCTCGAGAGCTTAAAATGGGAGCTTCTTCTCGGCTGCAGAAGGAAGACCCTTTGCTCTTTGTGTGTGTGTGTGTGTGTGTGTGTGTGTGTGCGTGCGTGTGCGTGCATGCGCATACATGTTGTCAGCATTTGGGTCATAGATGGCAAAACCTTTGTCTATGCAGTAGCATGGGAAAATCTGTGAATTTTGAGTAAGATCCTGCAGAGGATGCTCCGTGTTGTCATCGAATTTCCTGGGTGTGTTTTGCAAATTGTGACACACACACACACCTCCCCCCCACTGCAGAGCTGTGGTTTCTGGAGAAGCCAAGGGATGACTGGGAGGCCCTTCTGAATGGAGGGGTGAGGATTCCAGGGGAACCCCTTTCGGCTGGCCAAGCATTAGGAGGGGTCCAAAGAGACAGGGAATACATATTTCCTCCCCACCCCCACGTTGGTTTTATTGTATTTTATTGTTGCCTTGCTTAACATTTCTTCTTCGCTCCCACAGGTCCTGGTTTCTGGAGGCTTTCCTGTGCGCTGGGAAATGGGGAAGCTAGCCACCGTTCCCATTGTCCTGCTTTGTGGGAAATTCCTTGTAATTTTCCTTCTCAAAGAAACGCTCAGCCAGAGCAAGCAACGAGAGGGGTAAGGCGATTTAGAAAGAAGGGAACAAAATGGTGAACAATATAGAGCTCCTACCGCAGTCAGAAGGTTCAAGCACTGAGCAGTTCCTCTTTATTGTTCTTGGGAAGCATCTGAAAAATTGAGTCATGCCTTGAAAACAATCCACAGACCTGTTTGCGTAAAAACACCAAGCCTGGATTGAATTAAGCACTGTGGCTGGCTACTGTTGAACTCGGTGCGCTGGGCTAACTCAGCGAATGAGAGTGTCTTGAGACCGTTATTTGGGAGGAGTTTGACTCTGTGACTCCCGATGACGTGGACAGCGTCCTGGGGAGACTGAGTGCAGCCACATGTTTGCTGGATCCGTGCCCCTCCTGGCTGGTGCTGGCGGCCCGGGAGGGTACACGAGCCTGGCTTCAGGGAATTATCAACGCTTCTTTGGGGGAGGGTGCCTTTCCCACGG